GCACCTTTAAGAGAAACCTACAAAAAACCCTTTATATTACAACATTTACACAACATAACATTTTTTTTTCTTCTGTCTTCAGATTTGAAGCAGCTGATCGATCAGAACCTGGAGAATTTTAAATACACTCTAAATTTAGATTACAAAAATCAAATGTATCCTTGAGTGTGGAGCTATATTCCACTATTTTAACAGACACTTTCTCCCTGTAACAGCACTATGAACGCTGGCAACACAGAAATTTGACCAGGCTTTCTGTTGGTGTTGTACCTAAGAAAACAAACAAACAAAAAAAAAACAAAACCCAAACAAACAAAAAACCAAGACCTTTTATTCTAATTGGTAGCTTTGACTTACACAGAAAAAGGAAATTGTCTTCAAAAGCCTCATGTAATATAGGCAAGAACAACAATTTTCTGCCTATTTACTATAATCTGTTATTGTATCTGTCTGTGGTATTTAAAAAGTGTGTAAAATGTAATTCACATTACATTCTAAATGTCATCTTTAACTCCCTTTCAGACTGTGATGCTTTAACTAGAAATCTTGCTTATCCACAGATATTTAAGCAACTTGAAAAATACGGACTAACATATTCACCAATGCAAGAATTCCACAGACCTTAGAACATTACACGATTTTTTATTTTTATTTTTTTTTTTTGCCCTATGGTGCTCCAATCGTTTCTGGGCTGGGGGAAAAAAAAAACAAACCAACAAACAATTAATTTTCTCTTGAATTCACTCTTCCTCTTGTTTCCGTAACTGAAATTACTCACACTCCGCTCACCAAATACACCCCACCACAGCTCCAGACTCAGATTACACTACCACCTTGAGCAATAAGTAAGTTTTAAGAAGGCAAATGGGGTTATACCTGCAAGACCAAATACTGTATGAGAAAACAGTTAAACAGAGACACTGATTTTCATTACGGGGAAGAAAGAAGAAAAAAAAAAATTTGCTGGGGTTGGGAAGGAGGAATCACCCAAGTAAGTAAGTATCGCTAAAAGAGAGCGTTGTACTACATGGTTTTATGCATACTAATCAAATATAATTTCTTACTGTTTTTTTTACTGTTCTCCAATCACCATTTCTCATTGATGGCCACATTTTTTAGACTGTATTCACCTCTTTCTGTTCCCACGTGCTCAACACCATAGTTTTGTTCCTTCCTTGTATGCATCCTTTTTACCATACACTTTGTGATAGTTTCTTTTGCTTCAGCAAAGCCTGATTGACTGCAGTTTCTATAGTCCATACAACCACTTACAGCTTCTGGCACATTTTATTTTTTTCAAAGGACTTGCATTTCAAAATCTGACTATTGTGCTTTAAAGCCTGGATTCCTATTTCTTTTTAGTCTACTTGATCTTAATTATTTGTGTCTCACTAAACCGGAACAGGAAAATTACTTATTTAAGCTATGTAACCCCTCTACAAGACATAAAATCTTTTTGGTACACCTTGACTTCTCATTTACATTAAGGAGGTAAACTGCAAAAGAGACGTCAGTTATGCTCTCTATTCAAAGTTAACAATAAGAATAGAAGCAGCACAATGCTTAAGCTGGAAGAAAAAAAAAACCTACATTGTCATTTTATACTCACTTCTGCAATGTAAGCCATGCACAGAAGTTCAGGTTTTGTACAGGAGTTAGACAATTACTCTACTGTACCAAGCCAAAATGCCTTAAGAACGTAAGAACATAAACTGAAATACTCTCCTTTCAGATGTTAAACAATACGCTTCTGTGAACTCTTTTGTAGGAAACACGCCTACACCAACTTTGGAAAAAGGATTACTTATTTAAGAACTTTCAAAAATAGCCATGCCTAAAACTCTTTGCAGGAAGCCTGTATTTGATGCACCCATTAGCAGATGTACTTCCATAATGCATCATTTTTCCTTTGTTACAGAAAAAAATAAATCAGCTGAAATGATAAGAACACAGAATTTCAGTGTATTACTTAGACAAAACATACCCCAAACTCTTCTCCATACTCCCCCGTATCAGAGGGGCCAGTAAAAATCTCTCAACAAAAACTGAGTCTCCAGATATAGCTGAAAAAACTGCACCCGCCAGAATCAGAAAACTTTGGTAGTTTTGGCTTACATGGTTTGTAGCTTTCAAAACAGAACAGCAATCATTACTGTCAACTGTACTTGTTCACTGATAAAGTACAGAGACCAAAGTAGCATCTAGTCTTAAAAATGTGAGATGCTCATAATGGCTTCCACCTCCATGGGTGGGTAAATAAAAAATCATAAAACTTGTGTTGGAATTCGATGAAGGAGAGAAGCAGAGGCTATAAACTCTTCAGCTTGAGTATGAGTCACAGAGTATAAAGAATGCAACTTGTCCTTAAAAAATATGTTCTCCTGTTCCCTGAGTCCCTGCTACTTCTCAACCAGAACACACAGCAAAAAGTCTTTGTAATACAGTATTCCACCAAAATACTTACTACTACAGTATGCTTAATAAATGCTTTAGAAAGTGGAGAGGTAGAGGGGTACCACTCAAAAACTTACTTCCACGGTGTAAAAGGAGACAATTTAGACTTGATTCTTGCGGAAGAAAAATCACAATTTTATCTTTTATAGAAAAACAAATTCTATAAGAAAATGCATATTGTTAGTGTCTGGCCAACTCTGACTTAAAATGCATTAAGACCACTCAGTATACTGGAACACTAAGACAATGTTTTCAAAACACTGCAAGTTTTACGGACTTAAGAAACATTCTGCAATACGTAAGCAACCTTTCACAAAGCAGAGGGCAGCTGTACTTTGAACATAATCTGAAAAAACAGAACATGCAAGAACAGTCTACAAAACAGATTATTTTAAAAGGCCACAACTTAACTGAAAAAAAACCTAGAATATAACTTTGTTAGCTAATTCCTCACTTTCTTAAAACAAAAAAGAAATATTATGTAATTGCATTTGTGACAAAGAAAAAAATCTCTCCACACTCCTTCACACTTTGCAAGTTTTCTTTAATTCTGAGGATTCTATCATGGAAATGTAGTAGCTGAACAGTTTTCCTCAAAATACTAAAACAAAAGTAAACTAAGTACTGGACCCATATCTCTTCAAGTGTTAGACCATAAAGAGAGATAAATAAAAAAAAAAAAAAAGGTGGCAAAAATGTCAAAACTGTTAAAAACAATCTATGTATTAAAAATTTAACAGCTTAGAATTCCTTTTCCTTTCCAAACTGACAGGTTCAGTGAATCAATATTGTCACCCAACTGCAAGACATGTAAACTTAAGAGGTACTGCCAAAACCAGACTGACTAGATTTTTGCAGTACATCACCATACAGGTCATTTTTAAAATATGGAACTGGGTCCTCAAACTATGCAACTGTTATGTACCCAAAAACATTCAAGCTCTGGCTTCTTGGATTTAACATATTGTTATGCTATAATCGGGAACGTAACGGGGAGACAAGGATCTGAACATTACCTTGGAATACAAACAAATGGTATGTGGATGGGTGTACTTTTGACTCCGATAAGGAAATTAAGATCAGAATTCATATAAATTACATCTCTGATGAACAAGAAAACATTTTAATGGGCTTCTGGAGCAGGTGGCGTGTAAGAATATAAACTCATGCCCTCTCTTAAAAGAGATATGGGAACACTTCAGTAGTGGGGTAACATTTACTAACCTTCCAGTGAAATTTCTGTTAGTGCACACTAGCACTGCTCATTCATCAGTAACTCCAGCATACAAACCACCTTGGCTGTCTCCCTTAACGCCCCAGTAAGAGCATTTTCCCAGTTTTTAATAAACCCATTATTCCAGAAATCTTAAACTGTTTATTCAAATTCAAAATCCATATAAATATTCTAGGAACAAGGAAAGCGATTAAGAGTTATCAGATTCCAGTGGTCTTCATGAATAAGACTAACATCAGCAGAGTGCATAATGAGATGAAGTTTATGTGGAAAGGTGAGGAGAAAGGTAGATGATTTATAATGTGCTACGGATGTCTTATTTACTTGGTATAGCACGCTTCCAAATTTCCTTTAAATTGCATTTCCAATCATCAGGCTGAAATATACTAAATAGTTTTACTACTCTTTTTTTAGGAGAAAAACAGATAAAGTGAGGTGTCCCTGCCCATGGCAGGGGGGTTGGAACTAGATGATCTTAAGGTTCTTTCCAACCCTAACTATTCTATCATTCTATGATTCTTCCAGATTACCCATAATAATATAGCTAATAAGCTATACAGACACCACTGGTGAATAGGGATTATGGACAAGGGTACTAAAGAGACCCACAATTACTGTATGTGAAGTCCCATCTGTAACTAAACACTGGAATGTTTTGCAGTTGTCAAAAGGTACACTATTTTAAATTCTCACAGTTCGCTGGTGAGACTTAGTATGAAAAAAAAACCCAACCCAAAAAAACCCTAAAAAACATTTTCAAAAGTTTTTAGCCCAATCTAGATGTATTGGTCTTCACAATTATTATATGCTGCAATGCTTATAATTTAATCTTAACTGATTTTTGAAGACTTGTGTTTCATACCAACATTTCTCTTTTCAGCAAGTCTGTCATTACTTAGCAACTGAGTCACTAGGAGGTTCTTACTAACACCTCTTACCCACCAGCAATTCTCATTTTACTGAAATATGTTAAAGTGCATAAAGAATTTTCTTCAGAGTTATTTATATGCAGTAACTTCACTTATATTTCAATTTGCATGATAAGTACTCATGCCCTTATTAATAAAGACTGGGTCTCAAATCAAAGAATGTGGTACAACTTGGGTGTCTACTGCAGAAAGCCTTGAGGCTCATATATACAATGCTAAAATTGCACATTTCAAAGTTATAAACTCTAAGCATTTATCTCAGGATTGTTGAGAGCTACTGATAGATTTACTTTACTTTTCCAAAAAAGCAAGTCCAATTCTTAAAAAAACAACAAAAAACCACACTCAATTTAGAATTCAGATTAAGTCTAGAGGTAAATAAATTAAAAATACAATGTATTCATTTGTTTAATTATAAATAATTCTAATACATTTTTTACTACTGTAACTTCCAATTACATCTCTCACACCTTCATCAAAGACCGTATCTGGCAATGCAGCCTATAAGGAAAGCAAAAAATGCCAGGTAACATTTAATAAGCACTACCATGTATATATCTCCCAGATCACATCTGAAGATACTTACAAATAAGAGAACAAGTGTCAAAGTAGGGGGAGAAAATAACAAAATTTAAACAGAGGAAGTTCACCAAAATCTCTAATTTCTTCACAGTAGCTTTACATACTCTGGATAACCACATACAGCTGACCCCACTGAGAAGAAAAATCTTATTTTTGTGAAGTGCAGTTAGTGCTCACAAGAGTGGGAAAAAGCAGGTTTACAGGTCATGGTACTTGAGAAAAGGCCAGTGCCTGTTTGAAAGAATTTATCTCATAGAAAAGAAAAACTGTGAAACAATCACACAGTTGAAATATTACAATTAGTTTAAGGTTGGCAGGTTCCACTGGAACAAACTTTTCCTAGCTAATCTTAATATCTCCCAAGATCCTTCAGCGGTATCTTGAAAGAAACTAAAGAAGTGCAAACTGACTGCAAAGGGACGCAAATGGAAAAACTAAGTGTGTTGTGTATCTTCAGGCAGCTATATTTGCCTAACTAAACCTCAAGTCGTAAGTTCTGAGTTGCAGTAAATATACTCTGACAGACTCTCCCGTGGAATTTAAGTCAAATAGCTTTTTCTTAAATTGATTTTGCCATGGAAACTTTTGTCTGCGAGTCTAGTGCTCCTCCAGAAACAGAAGCAGTGCTAACAGTCCAGGAAGCCTACAGTAAAAGTAAGCGAGGTATGGCGCTGAGGTCACCGCAATTTCAGAAGCTTTTCAGCCCTCTACACGACTTCTTTCCAATACGGTAGCAACATGAAGATTTCTTCTGCCATGCCTATAGTATCTCCAAATCCACATGACGAACATCAGGATTTCGTTGCTGAAATAAAATTATTTTTAAAAAAAGAAGTAAATAGATAATATTAAAACACATTTTTGCACATGGATACAAATAATGTATTCTTGGTATGATGCTGGCAACTGGTTAACAAATTCTCTTTTCTGGCAACATAGGGACTATCTTAAAATGAAGAACAGCTTCAACAAATGTTGCCCACACTATAAAGCAATTTTCTGAAGGTTAAGCCAGCTTTTCATGTGACAAATACTGTTCAACATCACAGACAAATTAGTTCTCACACTTTATAAAGTATGAAGTGGCTCTCCTGATTTAAAAAAGGCAGTTAGATTTTATACAAAGCCGTTCAAATAAAGATATATATAGTCTCACTTTAAGAAAGTTTTAAACTGCTTCAAAAGGAGCAAAAACCGTTCAATAAAGCCCTCATCACACGCTGATATACTTGACAGAATGCTAGGTAACAGATAAAATAAAAAATAAAACTGAAATTTGCTTCTTTACAACCAAAGCAAAATTTAACAGCCTGTAAATAACCTGGTATTCTGCAAATACAGTAACAAAGACACAACCAGGTCTTATATTACAAAAATACTGTTCTACAGTGGTACAAAACTGAACAAAATATGTAACAAATGGATCAACGGCAAAGTAAGGGTTTACTACTGGTCAGAACTTAGTTAATAATACTAGAGCAAGAGACTCTGCATTAGGATTATCAGCCTCTTCCTTCATATATTTACAAACAAAATCCCCAAAGTCAATGCAATGATATTGTTTAAAATATAGTCACAGAACCATCACTCCCTAATAAGCAGCTAAATTTCACCTTCAGGTCCTTCTCAAGTCTGTCTACTTCAGCTCCCAGTGTGTCAATGATATTTTCACCATGCTTAAGCATGAAGGCTTCCAATTCTTCAAGGTTTTTCACTTGCTGGATTTCCTAGGAAGAAATCAAATTTAAAAGGTTGAGATGAGGGAAAGAAAGGATTAACACAGAGGGTTCTGACATATTCTGGGGGGAGTAGGATGACACACACAAAGAGAACCCCAAACACTTCAGCTTTTGCCATTTCCTTTTAAAGCATCATCTGTTCTTATGTCTCAAAGACACAGAAGAGTAGTATCTATTCAATGAAAATAGCTGGCTTACCATTACACCTGTACTTGATATAGAACCTTCTATGTTTAACAGATTTCCTCCTTTATTTTCCAAGTAAGTTTGAGAATTTCATTATTTTTCTAGAAGTTTGAGATATCCCTTATTCACAGCAACGCAGAGTACGCCTGTGTATTCCTTCCTCGTTTTCATACATTCTTGCTGTTTTATTACACTACTTACTCTGGCTACCACATTACCAACTCATCTGAAAATCCATGCAAATTCCTACGAAATTCCTCCTCAGGAGACCCATATTATATGTGACTGAAAAGAACAAGGTTAAGGAAGACAGGATGCTATGCTCTTCCCTCCAAAAAACCACAGTCATCATAAGCACCAAAGCAGGTATTACAGCACTGTCATGAGCTTTCCTTAGAGGTCTCACACGATGTTGGCCAGAAGCCATTTGACTTTCGCAGACATAGTTTAGGCAATATAGCTGCAGTATGTTTAGGACAAATAGGTTATTGCTAATGGACAAAGTAATTATTAAATAACTAATTCTTTTTGTGTCTATAATTACAACACAACATCAGTTTCTTTCACCTTCCCTATAACTCTGAAACTGAAGAGGAACAATGTAACTGAGTGAACTTAAAAGATACCCCATCTCCAATACCCTGTGACTAAAATCACAGCAAGTCTAACAAGAAATCAGAGCAATTTGAATGGTAGCATTTCAGTGATTTCACAGCTTCAGAAAGAGTAATATTGGTAGCAATGCTAGTTGAATGAGCTAGTTATTTGAAAAACTACAGATCAAAAGGCAAGCACTATGTCTACCCTTCAGGTAGGAGCAAAATCCTGCTGAAAACAGCTACCTTCAACAATGATTTTATAGCTGACACAAGGTTACTACATGAAACTACAATGACCTGTGTAAGAAACAGTTGTCAACCTAGAAACAATCAGGAAGAACTTTCCCAACAATACTAGTTGGAAGAATGAGCGACCACTGTACGCAAGCACCAAAGGGAACAGCAGGTAAAGAACAAGACCTAACAAAGCCTTTGAAAAGTAGTGTACTAACCAGCTGCAACAGCAAAGAATCTGAGATTTGGCAATATAAAACCAAGCAAACCTGCAGTGCCTCAATTGTACAAAGCTGACATCACTCTTCCTCTCAAAATGTACTAAATTGAAATCCAACACATGAATAGATTGCTTACTACACTATATATATAATATATATACATTCTTATTTTGACATTAAAAAGCAGTACATTTTAAGAACTCAGACACTGACTAATAGTTTAAAAAACCTGCAGTAATTTAAATGTAAACTCAGATAACTTCTAAGTCGTATCTAATGGGCAGACATAAAATGCAGGTAATCTGCTTTTCATTTTGAAAGGGTAGCAAAGAAAGAATTCTTGTAGGCATGCAAGCAAATGTATGTAAGCATGTTACTGGTGAAAATGGGTAAGCAAGCAAAACATTTTGCTCACTTAGAAATCTTGTAATTTAGATAAAATATTCTTTACTTCATATTTCATAGCTTTGCCATGCAGAATCCAGCTGAGAATAGTTTTTCATTTCTATATTGAAGAGAATTAAGAAAAGCTAATCTGAACAACACTGAAATAAGATACAGACACTGAAGACAGTGTTAATTGTTAAACACTGTCAAAATGCTAAGTGATGTGATGCAAGCAATCCATATTCAAGTCTAGTCTGACTGGCAGGATCTGTAAACCTTAACACTGCATCTTCAGCACTCAAGGCAAATGGCTCTGCCAAAACAATGTTTATTCTCAGGTGACATGCTTCCAGTTTTAACTAAAGACCTTGTAACTCAATAAAAATTTATTGGAATAAATACATTCTTATTTTGGACAAAAATATCTGTCCTCTTCCAACCCAGGCCCTACTCAGCCCACAAATGGCTCTATTTCACCAGCACATAATATGATTCCATGCAGAGATATCTAGCATACTAACACAAAGTAAAATCACCTGCAGTTATTCAAAAAGAATTAGTGGAATATCTCTCACCTACTTGAAAACCTAGGGTTTAGACATACTTGAAATTAGAAAATAAATATCAAATACTAGAAGTTATAGAAGGATTTTTTTAAAACATACCTGTAGCAGCTGCTCAATGTCTTGTTTTTCCAGGTAAGACCGAGTAACAACCCGTCCGTCGAAGTCTACTTCTGCCTTGAATCTCACTTTGCTCATTCCCAGGTCTGTAGCTTTAACATCATGAATTGCTCTGAAACACATAAATTTTAAAGAAAATGTAGAACAACATAAAACAAACAACTGGGTAGTTTGACTTCTGGTGTTAACAACATTGTCGCAGTACAACAATTCTGTAATTTTAAAAGGTCACTGCCGGTGACTCACATATCCTCATTTTGCCACCACACATTTATATTAAATACTGATTTATATTTAATTGGTTATACAACTTTCACAGATGTCTGCTATACCAACACATGTATAAATGGCTCGCTGCAATAAAAGACATACTACAAAAAAGCATCACAGATTTAGAACTAGACTAATGGTGTTATAAAAAAATCCCACAACAGAAAGTGATACCTTTCCTACTCAATTTACTCACTACTGCACAGTAGTTTTTGTGCATACACATATTTAACAATCCTCAAGTACCCTTGCTTTTGAGGTAAGGGACAATACTGTCAGCTACTGAAAGCACACACTGCAATTTTTCTGGACAGCTACAATTTGTGAAGGCATGGCCTTTTGGAGAATTTTCTATGCAAAGTTATATTTGATATAAGGTATGGATATTGTGACTGGAAATCACTTTTGATCATACTGAATTATTGATCATGACTCATCACAAGACAGCTGTTAGTAAAGGCTGAAAATGTATATTTATTTAAAGGTTCCTAATAGATACTAGAACATGGATGTTGCAGCATGTTTATATTTTGGTCCTTTGAAAACTTCTGTTTCTCTACAGCACAGTTTTGTTCCAGTTAGATAAACTCTATGAGGTATGAATATAGGTAATAAACAAAGCATACTCTAATTTTCAGGGATAGTAAGACATGAAGCAAACTCAGGACCCAGATTATTATGATGAATTTTAACACTGGAATAAAAATAAAATAAAAATCACAAAATACCATCTTTTTTTTTTTCTAAATAGATTAACACAAACTTATCTTTAAAGCCAAGTAGAATTTAAAATTGCAGAATAAGTTTCGTTTTTCCATCAAGGCCAGAAAAAAAGTGGACACTAAAACATGGAATATAAATTACAAAGACGTTTCTATTTTTTTTTTAATTTTTCCTTTTGCCATTTCCATTGCAAAATAAGTATCGGGGGTCAACTATAAAATACCCCAAGGGCTTTGGGTTTATTACCAGAAAAATGCAATCATTGCAATTTTAAAATTTTTAACAAAAAAATTAGAATCAGCAATAAGGCTCACTTAATGGAAAGTACTAAGCTTCACCCCCCCCCCCCCCTTCATTTCACTAAGTTGCGCAATTCCACAGCATCTTTTTAAATTTAGTATGCCCTTTGTCTTAAGCAAGTTTACTCTTCCCGACTCATCGGAATGTTTATAAATCAGAACTAAATTCACAGGCAGTGTGGGAAGAAAGCGGAATGCACAGATTTTGGAAGTAGCCTGCTAGAATGAATAGCTGACAAAGAACAGGAGGCAGAAATTTCAGACGAACAGTCAGAGGAAACATTTATGGAATATTTCTGGCAATACTAAAGCTGCAGGAGGGGTAAGCATATTAAAAAAAAAATAGAACATGACCTAAATATAGAGACACACACACAAAAAAATACATCTTAGCAAATATTTAAGCAGATTAAAAGAACTGCTACAGCTTACTGATAGCAATAAAGAATTTCCACCTCCAATCAAATTTACACAGCTATTCCTGTGGGAAGTTACCAAATCAAAACAGTATTAACTGGAATAACCTAACTGGAATCAAACTACCTCCTCACACAAGAGGGTATTTAAGACAGCAGATGTGCTTCAATGAGGGCTATATGAACAGAATGTGAATCCATGTGATTCAGAAAATGTTGACGATATATCAGGGGCCTATCAGAGCTAAGCAACAAGATACCCAAGATTCTCATTAAGCAGCAACTTGATAGATTTCAGTGGAATGATGCATATTCTGTAAACGTGAAGAAAAAAGTCTACCTTACTGCATATAATCCATCCAGGAAAGACAAGACAGTGAGTCAGGAAGAAAAATCACAAATAATTCAAGAACACAAATGCATGTGCTACAAAGCTTGCTTGTGGAAACTTCTGGATGGCTACCAGACACCATCAATTCAAACTAGGGAAAAGACAAAGTTTCAAATGAAATAAAAACTTGTCAGAGGACACCAAGTTACTGGGTTTGAGCCATCAGTTGTACTTTATTTTTTTTCTTCTTCCAAACCAGAATGACAGATTTTCCAGCACAACAGTAGCACAATTACCCAATAGCTCTTACAATGAAGTAAAAGTTAAAGATTAAACTAAGAATAGTTTATGTCTAAAGATCTACCATTATATTGCATCAGAACAGAATCGGGACAGTCTGTACCACATCATGTATTTTATTTCACAGTCCTGAAAGCCTCCTCTCCTACACTTCAGTTAAGCTGAACACAGAAAAGATTTGGGTAACAAAGGTTTCAATGACAGTTAAGAATGGAATGTTTGTGCAACAAAAACCAAAATCAAGTAATTTTCCAGCTGAGAAGAACTCTAACTAAAAGCCCATTCTGGATGACAAATTAAATAAGGCCTAAAAGTAGAAATTACCAAGGAAAATGAAACAGGAAATAAATAGCCATAAGCCTGAAGAAGAAATTATGAAATCCAGCAGAATTATAGAACCATAAAAGAAAGGCATTGTGTGTGATTTGAAAAAAAAAAAAAAAGTTGGTTTGTAAGTATAGCAAAACTAAAGATTAACCTGGAAACAAGCCTGCTACTAGATGGAAATGGTAGTTATTACTGATGATATAGAATAGACAAAACCATGCAATAATCATTGTTTCCTTGACCAAAAAGGAAAAACAATGTATTAGCAGAACAAAGCATTTCCCTATTAATGGCCTAGAAGCATACCACATATTTGAAAGGAAAAAAATGCTAATAATTCAGCAGGCTCCGCAACTCTTATTCAAGAGTAAAAAGAACCAAGAATAACTGTGAAGGCAAATAATTTTTCATCCTGCAATAATGATAAGTTTTTTTAAAAAGTGTAAATTAAAACACTGTGCCAAAATTTAAGAACCATAAATGAGGCAACCCATGTAATTAAAGACAACTTCATCTCATAACCCAAGGGAAAACAGTGAAAAGGGTGGGGGGAAAACTATACATTATGAGCATTAATTCCAGTCACTAAGGTTTTAGGGAATGTAGATATTTTCAAACAACTACATAAATCAACACCAGTTAATATTGCCTATTAAATACTTTGTAATTAGCAGTGGAACATGACAGTATTCCAACAGTGGCTTGCCAGAACAAGTAAAGTGGTGGTGTTGCTGATGGGGACAGGAGAGGGCGGAAATCAGAGCCTCTGTATCCTTTGGTCAATTCGGAATTAAATATCTTCTGATGAATACTGAATGATTCCCTAATATATTCCCTTCATGTTTGGAAAACACACCTAAAAGTAAAGACTGCAAACCCTCCATGAATGAACAAGGAAGACCTGTTTTGGGAAGCAGCAACTGCAAAAAAGGATTGCAGTAAGAACTCGTATACAGTGAGACAGCTGAAAACCCTGAAACACTGAAATAAAAAGAACAAATATTAGTCACAGCTTTAGAAGCAGGTCAGTACTCGGGAACTTTTTCTTTTACACTTGGTATCAGTAGGAAAAAATTTAAGAGTAGGACAGACCAGTACACACCTCCATTTAAGTAAAGTTTGAATGTTCAAAAAAATGCTGAAACTTATAAGCCCAAAGCTGTGCTGGATGAAAAACTAAAAGTAGCTGTTTGAAGACATACTTGATGGTAAAAGACTCCTTAGTTTCACAAGAAAAAGCTGAAAAACAAAAACAAAAAGAAAAAAAAAAACAAAACAAAAAAAAACCTCTATCTAACCAAAGATTGAAATAAGGAAAAAGAAAAAAAAAAAAACCAGGGAAATTTTTCCCTCTATTATTCCTCATTATAAGCAAGGGTAATATACTTTAACATCTCAGAGAATCCTGATATCAAGACCAGGTGTCTTCTTAGTAGTTGTAAGTTAACCAAGCTCAACATATTAGGCTTGTTACAAGAAGAACGTGGTCAAAGACAAAGTGTGTGCTAAAAGAAATCAAAGCAGGTAACGTAATGGAACTAAGAAAGAGATCACTCAAGACAAAGCGCATAGAGAACGTCCTGCAAACAGCATTGTAAGAAGAACCTACACATTTCAGCTTCTAACCTTCAGAGAAACACCGTTTCTTACCAAGTCTTCACTTCTTTTATTTTGTGTTCCTTTTAAAAATTAAGTTACTTCTTGTTTTTAAAAAAAAAAAGAAGTCTACAGCAAAAAGATAAACTAAGATTGCTCTCTTGAGAAGTTATAGCCATCGACAAAATTGAATATAATATAAACTGGTGCTAGGACAGAAGCAATTTCACGATTCCAGCTGGAGACAAGCAAAAGCCACCTGCGCACTTTGGGAAAAAAAAGAACTACAGAAGTCGCGTACAAAAAAAACCATGTTAACTCACCTACTCTAACACAGCACTGTTGACACATGCTCCACCATTCAGACTAATCCAGGGCCACCACAGAGTTTAGTTACTGACATGTGAAAATTCTAACACAATTCTATTCCAAAATAAGAATCTTGTTTAGCTTCTGGAACAAAAGACATGTCATTCAGACCTGTTGCTTGCAACTGAGATGATGCAGCACTTAAGTTTCTTTCAAATATTCTTGTGTTAACTAATGGGCTTGGATTTTAATCTCCAGAGTTCAGTAATGACTATGAATAAATAAAAAACAAACCTAAAATATTCCAGCTGATTTACACAGAAATATATTCCTGAATAATGATTAAGAAGAAAACAAAAAGGGTTTTGCTTCTAAATCAAGGTTAATAGGATCAAAGCTAAAATAGCTCTCTAGAAAGCATTTAAACAAGATTTCAGAATTAGAGTGAGCTGTAAGTTTATTGCACTATAAACTCTGGATTTCCAAAGAAGAGAAATTAACACTGAGTTAATTCTGTAAGCATCTGACATAGCTAATCTATTACAGTGTAATACTACTGCAGTACTCCACTGCCAAGCGCTACGGAATTCCAGATACTGAATATTAACATTAACATTAACAGAATTTAAAGATTTAAGTGCTCATAAACTATAAAAGCAACAGTACAGTATAACCTATCTGCTTGCATTTCAGCATTTGAAAACAGTTTCAAGTTTGTGATGGCTTTCTCATTAAGTCACTGTCAGCTCCTGTACTTAACGCAACTTAGGATATTTTTTGCAATTTTATTTCAGCTGTGGAATATCTGAGGGGCATGAGTATTTACTTAGTGAAATTTTTAGAAAAAAAAATTCACAGAAATAGAAGCTAGTAATAATTAATAATTAAGGTTCTAAAATCTCAGTACAGAAGAATCCACCCTAAAATAATCAATCTCACCAGATTCATTTAAAGTGCTTGAACTATTTTTTCCAATGTAATTTTCTTGCTTTTTGTTGTTCTTAGTATTGCTGCAGCTGTGAAGATTCTTACCTTACTACAGCATCACTTTCCAGTAACTCAGTGAGTCGCTGCAGTCGTTCAGGCTGAATGGATCGTCCTAGCAGGGCTTCAGTGTTAGTGTAGATGAGAAATGCTGACACACTTCCTAACAAGGTTCCAACACCTAGAGACCCCACACTGTCATAATAAGGGTTTCCTAAACAATATAATGTCAAATTAATTTCACAGAGCATTTCTAAAAAATAGCAGATAATTCAAATTTCACATGAAAGAAAGTACATAATTTGAGATTTATTTTTTTTTTTATTGACTGGTTTTGTTTTTTGGTGGGATTTGTTTTAGATTTTGTAGTGTGTTTTTGTTCCCTTGTTTGTTTTTAGTGCACTGGCAATTCTTTCCTACTGAGGAACAAAATGAAGCTGGAAAAAAAAAAAAGAAGTTATTTTAAGATAAAGTCTCAAGTCCCTCCTGTCCCTTAGCCACTCCTGTCTCCTGAAGGACTAATAAACAGAGTAAACTATTGTAAACTACTTAAGCTTCTGTGTACAGATTTACCTTATATTAACATAAAATTATATACACCTAAACTCAGGTAGTAGCATAAAAGTTTGTGTTCTTTTACCAGGAACTCAAAAACTTGCATGTATTAACCATTTCTGGAATACTGCACTTTTATAAGTTTTCATATTCATACTTATAGAAACAGTAATGTATAACAGGTTTTTTTAAGTTTATCAAAGAAATTAGAAATGGAATAAAGAAAAAATGGCTTATATACAAAAAAGTGAAACTTGCAATTAATTCATTAGCAGCCACAAAAAAAATTACATTTTTTTTTTTTTTTAATTGAAAAGCCAGTACTTAAAACAGGACAAATAAACAAACTTCCTCCTTTATAAATCTAACTGTGCAGGCAAAGAGATACTTTGAATCAGTTGCCACACAGATCATCACACCTGCATGACTTAGGTTTGCTACATTGTTTAGGAGTAGCTATTGTAATCTGAAGATAACACCAATACCACTACATAACAAACCAGAGGAGGGAACTGCTTCCGTAAGTCCTCCCCACATACGCATGCACATCACTGAATAAGGAAACACAGATACGTAATCCCACCACATCACAGTGATCTACATAACTGATTACAATAAACATACCTTTAGTAAAAAATACCTTCATTTGTATGCAAAGTAGCTCAAAAGGAAGTTAGACCCATCTACATGTACTCTTTCAAGCTTAACCCTTTTGACACATTAAAAAAAAAAAAAGCTGAACTTTAATTTCATTTTAAATATTTTCCAATTCAAACTACTAGAAATCTGACCAGAGAGGAGTCTAAACCTCCAGAAGCTTACACAGTACAAGCATCAAAAAGAGAGCAAAGATGCATTTAAGTCAACCAATATAAACTAAACACTCTGCATTCATACCATGCACAGGGGTAAAGTCACATCCTGATTGCCTCAGCCTGAGGCACAATTTTACCTGTTAAAGAAGTCAGACCCATACAGGTAGCAGCTATGGCCACACTCAGAACTGCTGCAGCATCCTCCAGTAACACCACATTTGTACTAGGATCATGACTCTGTACAACTGCGTATACAGCAAAAAAAAAAAAAACAAACCACACATTGCTTTGAAATGATTACCTTTACTACATTACACACAGTACTTAAACTATGCTAACATCAGCAACTTATAAGTATATAGGTGTAAACTGAATTTTTGCATAGGCATACACTTCTGAAAGCATTCATAAATGCACAGAAAAAGCCCTGTGCCAATTACTGAAGCTTCACCATAATGTCTGAAAAACTTAAAGGGGTATTTATCCTGAAAAATGCAAGTAGTTTAGTAAAAGTATTAAGTAGTGTTAACCAACAGGTTTTCACCCAATGTGTAAAATGTATGTTACTAGAATAGAAAAGAGATCAATAAGGCAAGGGGAAAGGGAAAAAGAGTACAGTGAAAATTGTTTCTATCATTATGCAAATAGTGGTAAATAGATTCTGTTTTAAATAATGACATACCTTACTGCTATAATGACACATACCATATTGATAAAATGACAGACCCTTGGCTCGAGCACTCCTGCGAATTTCATTTATAGCAACAAGAAGGGTAGCTGAAACAACACCAAAGTAGTTGCTTAAAATGGTTAGAGCAAAGACTTGCTTGCGTTCTGAAAAGAGTGAACTTTTCTTTATAAATAGCAAGAGATCAAAAAAGCTCTGATCAGTGATACTTTGAATCACTAAAAAAACCTGAATTACCTTCTTCTCTACATGCATGTCTCCCATACAAATTGGAACTGTTACGTTCACTGATAGTTTAATACCCCAAAGACATTCCATGTACACTTTTCAAATTATATGTTATTCAGCTTCTTATTATGGAGAGATAATAGAAGTTTTACCACCTTTTTTTTGTTTGCTTATAACACACATATTTGCAGCAGAGCTCAGAGCTTTAGTATGAAAGCAAAGACCAATTATTACTGCAATTACATTGTATTCTTAGAGATTATGAACAATTAAATAGAAATAATTACTGAAATTGCATACCTCCTTCAGATACCAATGACCCTGCTAAAATGCAGTATGCCTGTATGAAAAAAAAAAAGTGTTATTATGTTATATGTGTAGTTGTACAGATCCCTTTACCACTAACTATCCAAACACAGCATTTCAGAACCTCATTACCGACTGTGCTGTGTGGCTCTCCCTAAACCCAAGGCAGCCAATATTTGAATTATGCAATATATTGAAAAATAGGAAAGGAGGACCTCTTGGGATGTGTGAAGGGAAAACACAAAGTTTAAAGAATAGCTCATTTTGCTATAAGAGCAGCTATAGTTTAACATGAATTTTTTCTTAAAACATGTTCTCATTAAGGATGGTTTGAGCTAACTGTGTTGGGATTCAAACAGACTCAGGAAGTGAATTTCAGACTATGCCATTACTATCTATTAAGTCACCGACATTAGATGCAATATCAAACAACATTAGCTTACCCAGAGAAGAGATTCTATAGGGTGAGGGTTGAGTAAACCTATGATCCCATGATACCAAGACAGTCCTGCACCCATCATGAAAATGCCCACTCCACTAATCAGGGAGGCAATATAGCGCATGTTTGTGAAACCATACCTAGATAAAAAAAAGGAAGTGATTTAGGAAAATAAGATTCTATATATCTGCAAGCACATCTACATGTTTTTTCCAGTAAGTTTTACATGTCTTAAATCATCATCATATGACTAGGCATCTATTTAAGATAAAGCTGTTAAATTCAACCTAATCCAAGGAAAAAAAAAAGACATCTGGAAAAACATAGCTAGTACACACAATGACATTAAGCATTGATATTTTTCTAATTCTTTTCAAAATAAGCTATTTATGCAGCTATATTGATTTTTATGCAGATACTGGGGATTTTACTAACAGAAAGAAAAAACAAACATACTTTAACATTTTATGGAAATGCTACTAAATGAAAACTTCAGCCTTACAGGCAGCCAGTCTACCTATTTTATAATGCTAATTTAAAGGAAATAAAATTTGTGACATCTTTTAGTAGTTCAACTACCTGCAGACATTCAACATTTTCAGCTTTTAAGACCAACTAAAGCAATACTGAAAGTGTACCTTTGTTTTTTTACTATTGACTGCTACTACAAACAGTACATTTCTTTAGCAACATCTAAAAAAACAATGGTACAAAGACTATATTTAGAAAGAAAGGAAAAAGTGAAATGGGGGAAGGAGATAAAACAACTATTTAGACAAATTTAAGATTAAAATATTTTTCAAATTACCTGATGCTCTTAATGAAGTTTAAGAAAGAAAGAAACAATTCTGTAAATGAGATGTATTTTCAACTAGTGCTTAAAATATTAATGACCTGACCAATAATGTGAAGTGTAAAGCAGGTCAACTCTAAGAAAATATCACAGAGCATATAGCTTCTGACTTTCATGAAGCTGTAAGAGCTTTCCAATACTATCCCTATTACTCAGACAAAAACTAATAGCAGCTTGAGTCAAACACATCTCTATGACAAAAGTAGCTGCCTTGCAGAAAAGAGCTTTGTTTTGAATAAGTATTTTTTACTTAAAAAAAAACACTCACTTATTCACGTATCATTTAAAAACAAAGTAAAGCTATCCATTGGAAGAGGCAGAAGAGCCCAAAATAACATAAAGAAATAATGTCAATTAAAATAATACACATCAAAAAGCATACCACAAAAAAAAAGTATGGCTTGTATCAAGCCACTGAAGCTGCAACTTCTGCTATTTGAAAAAAATCTGCAGTTTTCTCTCTTTCAAAGTCATAAACAATGCATTTCAGAAATTATATGAAATGAGAGATTAAGAACAAATTGCTGCAAAAACAAGAACTGATCTCACTCCTATATAAAACTGCAAAATCATTATTTACTCAAAAAGCTTACGGATGACTAGGGTCAGGCGTCCTTGCAGACTGACTGATGCCCAAAGCTAGCAATGCCTATTCAGGATGAAAGGAAGCAAAACTTTGTTAAAATATGAAAACATTTAGAAACATTCTGTATCAACAGAACTCGAACAATAAAGGCAGATGCAATTTGCCGATCTGCACACATACTTTGTTACTGATATTGTACAAGAACAGAAATACAATCCTCAAAATCTGTCATCTACATCTACTGCCCCCCCAATTATTCATATATATATAATATATATAACTATATAGTGTGTATATATATATATAATTACTATTAATTATAATTCTAGAATTGCAACCGAAAGTGAACATTATGTGCAATCACAAGTGTTGTTGCTCTACTTCAATGTGAAGGAATGAAGTTGTTCAGGGAACAAAGCTATTTAAATAAATCCCTCTTGAAGAGAAATTATAGAGACTGTGGTGATGGCACACTACATTTAAAGCAATAATTTTATACTGCAGCTTCCATCATTACAGAAATACTCCAAACTGAAGAAAAATGTTTTTAAGTAAGAAATAAAAACCTCTTGATATCTAAACGGCCCATTTGGGATATATTTATTTAGGCATGCGTTAAACTTGATGCAGTAATTTATCAATCTAGATCTCGATTTTGCAAAGCACATGCTTTGTTTTACAAGTCTGAATTACTGAAGCATAATAACCAGTATTAAAATTTAGACACTTCAGTATTCACAGCGGCAAACTGCTTTGAGGCAGCAAGTTTTCTCCTGTGTTTTTCCCAAAACCACTACGAAGTATTAACTTTCACAGTTAAAAAAACAGAATAGCTCTTCTACATATAAAGTGGTAGATAATACTACTATCAAACTTGGTTCACCTGTAAACTGACACAGTCGGCCAAGTGAAAATCACACACCTGAAGGTTGCCTCCCCATAATTTTCTTTAAGTATTATCAGCTAAGTTAGTAGTGCCCCTGTCTTCACTTCAGAGCTGGAACAACTGAAAGGTTGTGTGAGAATATTTATTGAAAAATAGCAAGCAAAATGCAAGTCCTCAACTCAGTCTTTCTGGACACAGAAACATACTAGGTACAACCAAAGCAAAAAGGTAGCCAAAATTTTGTTAAAATGCATTTTAGGATATTAAGTCTGCTCTAAGATTTCATACGTTCCTCAAATGTGGAGGAGCACTGTTGTATTTTGTATGTGTCAAAAGCTATCCAAGGATTTCTCTTGCTTGAGCTGCAGGAGGGTTTTAACCACTCATCTTGAGGTACTTATTTTGTTTCCAAAGCCTTACTGGTATCAAAAAAAAGCAACAAAAAGAATTCCTTCAACAGTGGAAGAAGGGAAAATTTCAGCATTTCATAATGAATGTCTCAAGCATACTAAAGAAAATAGTGAAAGACACAATATTAATTTTGTCTCTGCATTCTATATTATGTGCCCAGCTCTGAGTTTGCCACACCATCTATCAACGTAAATGTGCCAAGTATATGGCTATTTGGGTTGTGAGAGGCTGCTAAGGCAGCCTACAAATTGAAAGAGATATGCTCAAATTCTCGTCATTATTCTACCAGAAGATGACTAAGCAACAAAGCCTGTCATCCTATTACAGTGACAGGAAAAGTATTTCAAGTTAACATTTAACCAGAATAAGAAAGAAGTACACTATGTACTCTATCTTACTTTACAGTCCTACTTACAATCCATAAAGTAGCTCAGTATAGTTCTGCTTACTACAACTCCTCTGGAATTTCAACTGATTTCAGAAAAAAACTTCAGAATCTACATTGACATGTCTCATTTTTACATTAATACAAATTAAAACACACCCTTTTTTTTTCTATTATCATCTGGACAGGCACTCAATAGTACTTCAAGATAACTGACAGATACATCCCTGCTGTCCAGGAGGAAACAAGGCAGAGCGGAAGAAGCATGCAACCCAAATTACCAAGATTTTGCGCTGACAACATGTCCTAAAGATAAGACTGGTCACATTACACATACCGTTGTAACAAAATTAAGCCTGTCCTGGACTTATTTGCTAATGTTTATATATTTGACTAATACTATAACCCATTTACTTTTTTCCAGTGCACTTTCAAATCTTGATAGTTACAGGGAAAATAAACTGCAGCTGACATACAGAACAATGCAAAACCAGTATTTTACTAAAGAACAGAAGTAACTGGGGCAGGTGGTTTGAAATAATGTAGATGTGTTGCAAACAGTATTATATTAACAGAAATACTAGTCCAAACTTGATCATTAGCAGAAACTCTTTCTAGTTTCCTTCTGCATTTAAGGCTTCTAGACTAGGTCAGTTATTTTACTGTTAGCTTATAAACCCTCCATCAGATCACTGGCATTATATCAAAAAGAGGAATAAAATGGAGCTAAATAAACCTTCTGAAACCACCAGTTTTGGCAGGTAAATCTGCAACTAAGTAACAACAGCTTTGCACTCAGATTGGGAAACAACAGAAAGAGCTCTGAGCTTAACAACTTTTCTAAAGTAATTTGAATTTCTGACAAAATATGCCTTCACCTGCCTACAGGTTAATAAAAACTGTACATAGCAATAACACTGGTTTGTGTCTCTGTGAAGCTAAAAAAAGTATGTGTATACTACAGGCATACAGAAAAAACTGCATCTTCCTCTCACTGCAGGCATAGAGAACTTGTCAGACTCTGGGCAGGCTTTGTAACCTCCATGACTGAAACCAGAAATCACTTAATAATAAAACACAAAAACACCCTCTCCCAGAACAAACTGATTACATCTTTAAGGCTGTTTTGCCTCCAGATTATTTAAATGGTCATTAGATTAAGTACTAGCTTTTTTCCCTCCTAGAATATATTACTATTAATTCTAGGAAGCATGTAAACCATACAAAACAGTACATTATCATGGATGTTGAACAGCAAGAGCACTGTAAATACACACCACAGCAAAACCTGAGAGTCATTTTTAAAGTTCTAACTAATACACTTGGAAATTCTAGGCTTATCTACAATGTCAGTGTTATCTATGAGCAAACTTTATAAAGAAAAAGGTATTTTGCTATGAATTCTAGTCCTCCTAAATAAAATACTGTTTCAATTTCTCTGATGTTTCCTATTTAGACAGTATAGGCAACTAAGGAGCACTAGTAGATTAAATTATTGCTTTCAAGGCCAACTACTGTAAGTACCTATCTTTATTCCTGAAAAAATTATTATAAGTGCTAACTTAAACAGAATAGGAAAAATACTCACCTGGTTACATGTGTCTGCTAGAGAATGTATGGCTTCTGAAAACATACTTGCAGAACCCGTGTAAACCCAAGCAAGTAGCTTAAAGAAAAAATTCAACCCATTTCTGAAAACAAAGAGAAGAAATAAACTAAAGAACAACAGAATAGCTGGTCTTTAATATTTTCAACAAAACCACAAGTGCTCTATAACCATGCATTACCTGCCAGCAAGTGGCAAAACCACATATCACTTTAATCATTGCAGACCTATACAGGCAGGTAAGGCATACAGATTTTCTGTATGGTTACTGTTAAAATACCCTTTCAGCTAAACTTCATATGCAAAGATTTTTTTATTTGTCAAAAATCATTAACTTCTAGGCAGTTACACTTCATGAAAACTACTATCACATTCACTACTTAGAACAACTAATGGCCTACCAGTGGGAAAATAACAGTCTTAATTATTTCCTTTTTCAGTCCTTTCTTTCCTTTTTTTCAGTCCTTTTTAATTTTTGCTTTTCAGTCCTTTGCCACCCCCTCCTAACACTGGAGTCCAAGGTTCCCAACTTTAATCTCAGCGTGGGCAATTCCCAGTAGGATACAAATATAAGACAACAGACAGGAAGGCAAGGCTCTCATCAGATAACACTGTAAAAATTATCTATGGAACTTTTCTATTAAGATGCCCAGTGTGACCTGTCAAGTCTTCTTAGGTTACAGGCTCCCTGGAGTAAGCATCATGTTACGCTGTACAGAGAAAGGTAGCTGTCAACACTAAAATCCAAGTTTACATTCTCACTTCAAACATTCATTATCAGAATCAGTAACTGTTACAATCATATTGCAAAGAAAATTAGACTAGAGGACTATTAGCATTCTCCCCTTTTTAAAATATATTTCAGTTTATCTTGCTGTCAATCTTTTAAAGTATTTGAATGAAATTGTTACAAATAAATATAAACAACATATTACAGTGGCATTCTTGAACAACCAGATGCCAAAAAAATACATTTAAGTTACAGGAAGCACAAGTCCAGCCCCTTGCCATGCACCAAATTATACAGTTGATTAAATCAGATTCATTTCCAAGGTCATCCTCAAAGAATTTCTGTGAAAACACATTTTACTTTAGCACTGTTTTCTGTAACTGCTTCAATACAAGGGCCTGAATGTGCTTCACAATTTTGAAGTTACTCTCATTGCCTCATGAGATGGTGAATCATCACCATAATTTATAGGTGGAAAGTAGAAAATGCACATGTTAGTGATATCCCAAGAACAGAAGGCTGTTGTATCATTAAACCATAATTTAAACTCCCTGTGTTAATTACAAGCTCCTCCAAGTCACAGCATAGTGCATCTTCAGCACACAAAGGAAATAAATTACAGTGAGATTCCTCAGCACAGTCTCTTTACTTTTATTTTTCTCTGTGTTGTATTAATGGAGTTGACAGCTCATCTGAAGGTACATTTCAGTTGTGGGGCCCCCACCTGTTCAGATGACACAGTAGGCACTTTGATGATACTGTTTCACCTCTACCAATTACGAATTTGTGGGGAAATTTGGTATCCTAGAAATTCGAAAGAAGCCATACTAAGATTTCCAAATGTCAGGCCCAATCTATTAATCTATTAATCTATTAATGATGTCCAAGAAGTTGGAGACATATGACAGGAGTGCTATGCAGGAAATTATTAGGAGTGATAAGTCAAGGGGTAATGGGTTAAAACTTAAACAGGGGAAGTTTAGACTGGATATAAGGAAGAAGTTCTTTACTGTAAAGGTGGAGAAGCACTGGGCAACCCATGTTGCCCAAGGAAGTTGTGAATGCTCCATCCCTGGCAGTGTTCAAGGCCAGGTTGGACAGAGCCTTGGGTAACATGGTTTAGTGTGAGGTGTCCCTGCCCAAGGCAGGGTGGTTGGAACTAGATGATCTTGAGGTCCTTTCCAACCCTAACTAATCTATGATTCTATGATTACAAAAGCCATAAGTCTATAGAGCCATCAAGGCTATTTAGTGTTTCCTTTCTGACTAGATGTTTGCATCAATGTAAAGTAAGATAACAGTCATTTTGGAGGAAAAGAAAAAACAAAGTCACGCTTTTACTGCAACTAAAATATGTTCTGCTTTAAAAAAACAAATTCACCACTGCATTTGAAAATACTAATCCCTATGAAAGCCTAAATTCTATTGAAGATGCAACTACTATCAGCAGAAGAAACCATCAGATTCTGAGAAGACAGACACTCGGTATCTCAATCAGTTTGAAACAAAGCTATCTTTTACATCAGTGACCACCAAATCAGAAGAAAGGGTATTCTCTATTTTACTGAAATGAACCAGACTGACTGATTTAGCTAGTCTCACTTTTATCCACATGGACCTTAAAGAGTAGGAAATCTTAACAGAACTTAAACCAAAGATAGGCAAAGTCTGAAGAATATTTATTGTAATGTTTTGGACATCATGCCAAGAAATAATAGTAATGCCCACCATGTTTCACTAGGTACAATTCTATTATTGTTCTTACTAAACCTACTACTATACAGCATTTTCTAATAAGCCTCTCTTCTGCACCTAGAAAACGAGCAATTTCATTCAACACAACTGTTTGTAACAGTATTCCAAAGTCCACGGAGGAGGCAAACATTCACCAAGAAAACTGAGGGAAAGGAGGAAGAAGTGTTGAAACAGATACACATCATCCTTGCTGTCAGAAACCCTGTCAATTTTAGTGTAAAGTCTAAACTTAATTGGTAACTTTAAAATGTACTGATACATGAAGAGAATCAGCCTTTCTCTGGACAAAAGAAAAAAAAACACTACCACAAGTGCAAAAGTAGATCAACATCAACTACTCAAAACAAGGTTCGTAACTTAATTTAAATTACAATTAAAACAAATTCACATAAATCTATGCTGACTGAACTGTAAACTTGAAAAAAAATTAAAGGGCAGTTCTTACAAATCTATCATTCCAAATTTGTTTTCAAGGATAACCCCAACAAAACCCCAAGATGTATATGGGGAACAGAAATTATGAGGAATTGAAAAATACATATAGGAAATTGTACTGTGATGGGACTGCCCATTTTTCATACTCTAGCTTACCACATAAGCAATGGTCTAGAAGGACCTGGTCTTATTTACTTAAAAAAGTCAAAATAATCAAACAGGAAATATTAAATATTTAGATCCATTATGAATCTATGGGGGAAAACAGTCTAGGCTTGAGATACCATTTGAGAACTAAATGCATTTCATCACATCTATTTCTAGAGAAGCAGTAACATTACTAACACCCTGGACCACTTGTAATTTTTAATAAATCTTATATGCCATGCAAACTTTGTATTGTTTAAAAGGTAAAGCACTAGCATGACAATGAAATCACTGCAACAATGCCAGACTCTGAAGGATGTTTTGCTAAAAAGGTATTGTTCCTTTTTTCTTAAAAGCATTACCTTCCTGTGTTTTCTTACCACAGCTTCAAAGTTTTCCCTTGCACATAGCAATTCTATTAACAACACAGAGGATGGCAATGCAGCTAGTCTGCCTTTGAAACTAGCCAGAACTCTGCCTTTGACTGAACCACATTTTATCCTTACTATGGAAGCCTGAAGTTCGTGAGAAGCGTACCCAAATTATCACAACTGAGAAGTTAAGGCAGATTGGCCTTTCTTGACCCCAAACCAGAAGCCACTAAAAATCATGCTGGCGTCAGGGCCACAAACAAGGGAGCACTAATAGCAGTCTTGACTAATATCTCTGAAAAGCCATCAGGTATTTGAGTGCCACTTCTAAAAAGTTCCACATCGAGATGAGTGAGCAATACAATAGGCTCTACAAGCTTCTGCTGGACTAGCTGCCATGCATTCATCTATAAAATTACCTAATCATTCCAAAAGGTACTTATGAAGTGCAGAGTGCAATGCTTATAGCAATGCCCTGTTTACAAAGCAGGAGGAAAGGTCTGTTTTCTCTAGATGACTGCAAGAAAGGAGGTAAAAGTGACCATTTGGGCCCCTCCCCATTATTTTTTTTCCATTATAAACACCTGTGCTAGCAGTTCTTACGTATTTTTACTTAGCCCTGAATAATTACTAGTAAAACATTAAAGAGGGAGGTTTTCAGTCAAACATGGTTTGACGCTCTCCCCCTTTCCCCAGCAAAAAGCATATAGTTTTGTAGATAAGCTCAGAGCTATTTCCTGCTCAAAATGTTGCTTTCTCTGAACAGAAATGTAATACACTTCTGTGTATTTCATGCCAGATAATATCTGTATTTGTTTGCTTTAAATTGGTATAGTTTTGTTTCATTCAAACCTATAACATGTGAAAGGCAAAAACCTCCTAAAATATCCCTGAATAACAGCAGAAAGAAGTTAATTCTTTTCTGTTGTTTATATGGAAAATTATTTAAAACACATGAAGCAAGAAGGGGAAGCAAGAAAAAAGGACACCTTTAAAAGCCTGCCTCTCCATGTCCTTCAAAATTATAGTTTTTGCTTTAATAAATTGTTTAGTCTGATCAAAAAATTTGCTCTTCTCTGATCACAGATATATTTTAACCCTGACCGCTATATATTGGTGAATGTCTGTCCCACCACCACCAAATAAACAAATTATTAACATCAGTTACAGAGACACAGGTATCTTTAGCTTGAATACACAGACTGTTCTCATTTCCAGGATAATAAAAATAAATCATTTTCTCTTGCTTAAACAAAACTTTTTTAACTTACATGCAAATAGCTACCATTACCACCTTCCCTGGTCCCTTGAAAAACATAGCTGCTGCACTGGAGCGTGGCTAAATAAAGAAATAAGAGATTATTAAAATAAAATAACCAAATCTTGATGTCATAAAGGTCCTACCATACATATTATTTAATAAAAAGTTTGCATTGCCCTGCTTTGCGAGAGTGAAGCTACAGGCCTTGAAGCCTGAATGCTCACCCAAACTGCATTTAAGCCTTACACATTTCTACAAACGGATGGCTATAAAAACGATGAACCACCAATAAAGCCTCCAGCAGGAACCACTGCAAATGTAAGGACAGGAGCCAGCTGCACAGCAGAAAGATTAAGACATCATTCTACCATAGAAGAGCACATGGATCTAGCGAATGGGTCTGCTTAAACAGAGAGGAAGGGTCAGTAAGGTATAGAGCAAAGTGTTAATGTTTTGGGTTTTTTTCACTAAGAAGCATACTTTGCTTCTTTAAAATAACAATATATTTACTTTACATGTTTATAGGCTACTCATGAAATAAAACTGCAGCTATATTTGTGAATAAGAAGACAACTGACTAAACAAAACACCTTACTGGCCACAGTAACATTACACTTAAGTGTAATTAAGTGGATTACACTGCCACAGTAGGAACTCATTTAAACTGGTATCATAACATTTACCACTGCAGTACAACCAGAGACAGATCTTGTACATTATAGTGCAAATAAATGTTCCAATAGCATTCAGCTAGTTAAGCTTATGCAGCCATTTCACAACTGTTTTCTTCTAAAGGTGTCATAGTACAGCTCATAGCACTTTTCCAGGCAAAAAAAAAAAAAAAATCTTTAAAACATCTCTTACCTTAGTATTGCCAAAGAACTCCTTGTATTCCCATAACAGCCTTTGGTTTCGAAATAGTTCTGCAATACAAAATTACCACCACAAATATATACTAGGAATCGGTATTTTCTGGAATTTTTTTATGCTGCAGGTATCTCCTCCTAGAAAGGGCTACATGGTCTATCTTTCTTTGTGATAAACTCCTCTCCTGGTATGGCTAATCAGAAACCTACTGTTACATACACATGCAAAATGCCAAATACAACCTATTATCCTATACGTTGTTGACATTTCTACTAATAAAGGATGATACACAGAGGCAGAAAACTCCAAATACACTGCACTACATCCAGACCTTCTAATGCCTCCTTCTCACCCTTTAACCACGAAGGAGAAGGAAAAGGATGTTTCAAACCAAGTCTCTTAACATCAGTATTTTTGCATCCACTAATGATGTAACTTGAAAATAAACATTAGTATACTACAGTATCTAGAAGCTGTAGTGCTAGATTCTTCCCTACAGTTATCCAAAATACATTATACAGAATAACTTAAATAGCCTAAAACAGCCAGTAGAGTACAAGCTGCACTCTCCGTACATACACTTACAGGTACCTTAACAAGAGCCTGCAGCTCTAGCCTTTTTACTACAAGGGTGTTTCAATGGCAAAACTCTTTAAAAAAAATTAATAATAATAATTTACAAGACTGCTAATTTTAAGGTACATAATTGAAGTAAGTACCTTGAAGCAGTATTGCCTCTTCTGTGATTTTAACTGGCTAGATAAATCAAAATCCATTACAAACTACTGATCTGACTGTACCTGTTCCTGATAATACCAGCAAGGATGATGACTATTTTAAGCAATGATGTGGGGTGTTTTCCCCACCTTCTGAAGCACAAAGGTGAGATGAATTCATTTCAGAAGAAACATACATGGTAACAGTATGGTATAAAGATTTGGACTGGGTTTAAGTCTTTTCAAAATTCTCAATAAAAAAAAAAAAAAACAAAAAAATAAAAAACTACCAAACTTTTAAGATTCTAGTAATTGTTCACTCAATCCCAGGGATCCCCCTTTAATAAGGGGGTCATACGTTCACACAAAGTACTTGTGGCTCCAAACGCTTTGGTGTGATGACTCATTCAGTGACTTCAGATCTGTGACACAGTGATTTCAGATCTGTGACAAAGTGCGTCGAAGGGTCTGGTAATACTAGCTAAAACTTGAAAACCCCTCCCAAAACGAAGAAGCATGGCTATAGACATCAACTGAATGCATTTCTTGGTGTATGACAAGCAAATTGCAAGATAGTAACAGACTACTTCTGCACAGATACTAATGCGTTACTCTACATTATGTTGTAAAATCATATCAGCAATTGCTAATTCCACGTGTGAGATGATTTCTAAAAAAAAAAAAAATTAAAAGAAAAATCATACTTTGTTGTTTTCATTTTAAGTTATTTGAACACTGTACTCACTTTCTCTGTATTTGATCTCTGCCTCTTTACGTCGTTTTCTTTCTCTAGCAAGAGCCTCTGGGCTACCCCAAACTTCAAGAGACCTGCACAGAGTGAAAGTAACTTAGCAATGGTTCTACTATGCAACTTCTTTTCAGTTTGGCTACATTACAAATGCCTTTCCTAAAAGCAGATCATCATATCGTTCTTTCTCATAAGAAGTCATGCAGACTACCACTCAGTAAGGGGCAAGAAGGGGCTGAGGACAAGCACCTCATCTTTAAACACATGAAAGAGACACTCCAACTGTATATACCCATGTAATTATTACAATAATAAGGATATAAAATGTGTTCCCATAGCAAATGGAAAACATTATTGCCCTCTCACATTGTAAACCTCACTTCTAAAAGAAGGTGGGGAGGGGTCCTCTCTCATATAATACATTTTAAATGATGCAAACATTTTCTTCATACAAGTGTTCTTACTTTGCTTCTACATCCGATCTCAGATACACAGTGAAAGTCTCAGTATCATCATGGGGGCTTCGTCGTTTAATTTTCCTCAGCTGGTCTAAATCACTAAGGAAAGTGGACAAACAGTTCAGTACAAATTCATATTAATCTTTTACTTTCATGCTTGGGTGATCTTCCTCAATTTTGGTATTATTACTTTGCAGACCAAAAACCTGAAGTTGTTTACTTGAGCCAAACAGAACAGACACACAACATGAAGCAACCGATCTCTAGGATACTATTGAAAACAACTGTGTTTTCCTCCACACTCAAAAGTTCAAATCATGTCCTCAAACTATGAAATACTATACATGAAAGAAAGTAGTAAAACATTGGATACTATGACATCCAATGAATCTGCATGTAACTGATAATGTGTACCAGTGACAAACAAGGGAGTTCATGGTTTAACATCTTGAAATTGAAATCAGAAGTGAAATGACATGAAAAGTTAAGAAATGTAACCTCAAAACCTACACACCCAGCAAAAGCTGCAAAAGGTTGGAGATAACGAAGCTACTTGGGGAAACAGATAAATGTACTGTGCTGAGCTACATAGTGGAGCATCTACATTGAGAAGCATCAGGGATTTTTTTTTTTTTTAATTTTTTTATACAACAGAACATTTCATTTTTAGCTCAATCAATTATCTAGTCCTGTTTTCATTTCCCCCGTGACCCCTTTCAGTCAATCCAGCAAAGCTTGAGCTAGGAATTTCTCTGCACAACAAGGTAGTTATGATAAAAATAAGGCTGAGAACTAAGAATAATTTGCCACTGGATTCTCAGCAAAGACACGTCTGGTGACATATACTATATGAAAAAAACTAGGGAGCAACAGTGACAGCATAAAAAGTTATAAACAAAGCTGCTAAGCCATTAGACTAAATATGGGGCACACACATAATGCATAACAGACACCTCAACTACAGCAATACCTAGTAAGACCTGCTGGCAGGCACAACACATAGTAAAAGGCAGTAAATATGAATCAAGTAACAATAGTTAAAATTGCAATTAACCAGATTATATTTTATTCCAAGTAACAGAACTCACATTATGAAGTTTTCACTCATCTTTCACAGATGTTCACACCAAACCATCATGACCCCAAAATGCTGAAGAATTATTTGCCATTCCCCCTTATAACTAGCTGCTCACCCCAAGACACCCCCAAGTGGATTTATGGTCATATCAGTACAAATAAATTCCTTTAAGCAGCAGCTATGTAAACATGCAAACTAAGTGCAAATTCCTACACTAAGTAAACAAGAACTAACCTCAGCCACTTGTGATTACATAAGCCACAACAGCATTTAGAAAGTTGCTATACAAAAATCACCCTAAAACTATAATTATATTTGAAGCGCATATGAACAAACAAATATTTACAACTTAAATCTCAACTCAGCCCCATCATACCTGGATTTGAGACAAAACTCATTTATTGCTCTTACTCCAGTGATGAAGTTATTCTTTGTGTATTTTGGTCCATACTCTCTTTTTTTAAGGACTGCTTTCACTTAAAAACAAAAACAGATAAGCAAGTTAAGTCACTTATGGAGACTACAGCAGACATTTCAAAATTCAAAGTTCAACCTAGTGTCATATCACAATACCTCTAAGTACAGACCTGAAAACAATGCTTATCAGCAAGATCAAAAACTTACAGTGAAGAGAAAGGAACGCTCTTCATTGTGGAAATGCGTACAGTAGAATGATTTACCTCCAAAAATACTATATACTAAATTGTAGTTAGGGGCTTTCAAACATCCACTGAACTGCCACTGCCAGCTACTTCTCCAACTTTCATGTCAGAGATGGTATTTGGCTCCTAGGATAGCATTCAAATATGGCAATTCAGAAACATTTGCTTTAGCAAATGAAACAGCCACACAGAGATCCAGTTGATTTTTTCCAATATTTAAGCAGTTCCACCTTTTACAAGTAAGAACTTAGAGAACAACAGCTTCTGCAGAGCTTACAGAGAACTAAGACTGTATATGTCATTTTTCTCAACTATTATTTTCAAAATGAGCATAATTAATATTAGTCATTAATAGCAATTAAAAATACAAATTTATAATGCTTTCTGTCTAGAAGATGTACTCTTACCACATCAGATTTTCATGCACAAGGAAAAATATTCAGAAAAAGGATAAATGGAATTTTATATTTATACCATTATTTCCTGCTTCTGTATACATATATAACTTCAACTTACTTTCAAATGGAAGTCACTGTATGCTCATTTCCATTACAAACATTATATTTACTGGAAGAAATGTCAACAATTGCTGAAGGATATAACATTAAAGAACACAACTGAAAACAAAAAGCTCAAATTGTGCAGGTGAGAAGACTTAACGAGCACACATAAATTTCCTGTGCGTCACAAGACTGATGATAAGATTTCTGAAGTTAGTCCAGAACTACTCCTTAAGTCACAGGATACTTGCAGAAAGCTACTACTTCTCAAAGTGCTACACTGTCTTATTTCTGAGTTTTGAAATCTCAAAGGCAATATATATTGCTTGACACTCAGCAATGCACTAACAATACAGATAGCAATATTTATCATAATAATCAGATTTCTGTCATCCAGTTTGATCTTACACAATTTTTTAAGTATTTGAGCACTCACATTGATCCCACAATGCTCCTGAGCAAAGGTGACAAATAAAAATAAAAAATAAAAATTCTCCAATAAACAGTCCACCATTTACTAAAGTTAGAACAGGGAAAATATTTTTAAAGGAGAAGAATGCTTCCCATCTTTTCTCCACATATATATCCAAAGCATATTAATCTTAGTAAAAAATGAGTCATGGATTTATCAAACACTTACTAATCCATCTTTCAGAAGCACACATAAATTTCGCTAAAATACTGTAACAAATTGTACACTGCAGAATATCACAACGAGCCCACCCTAGTTCAATTAAGAGTATAAAATAGGCAATAAATATGGAGGGGGGAAAAACAATTCGATATTTCCAAGACAAAGCCAAATAGAAGATGATGTAAATAAAACACTTTAAACTGCAACAATTTCTAAGATCAGTGATTCTTTTAAAATGTTATTGTCTTAGTAACACTTGTATCAGCAAGTTTCTAAGTTGCAGTAGCATCTGAAGACTAGAATTCCACTTTCTAAACGCTATCAAAATCTTTAACATTCTTGCTTGCCTATAATCTAGAAGCAAAACTCTTTCCACTGAGAGATACATCTCTTTACAATTATTTCTCAGCCTAATTTCTCCTGTCTACCTTGTATGCTCCCCCTGCAGGCACACTAAGTGACACCAGACCCGAAGAAACTGACATAGAGGATGTAGACAAAAGCTTGCAGAAAGCATACATCCAGAGATCCTGATCTCACCTTGTTACCAACGAGTATTACAATTTCATGTTTCTTTAAATTTGGGAAACGACACGAAGGCATTTTCATAGAGTTTATGGCCTGCTGAGTCACTTTCACCCCAGAGATTTTTTTTTTAGACAGAGTTTAAAGAGAAATAGCGATTTCTATTTTGATAAAGTTCTTTCCATACATAGAAGGCCAGAAGTGACCAAAAGCACGGGAGTTTTTAATAGTATAATTCTCACAATAACATCATAGAAACTATCAGAGTGAAGATGGAGTGAAAACAGCTTATGATAAATTAAGAACATGAAATTGTAAGAGAAAGTTAAGCACTTATTTTATCTACTTCCATTTTTAAATAATGTAACTAAAGACAAAAGCATGTATTTACTTGTATGGGGTTTACATGGCAAGGTTTTGGTAGCAGAGGGGCTATAATGGTGGTTTCTGTGAGATGATGCTAGAAGTTTCCCTCATGTCAAACAGAGCCAATGTCAGCCAGCTCCAAGACAGACCCACCATCAGCCAAGGCTGAGCCAATCAGCCACAGTGGTAGCACCTCTAGGATAATGTATTTAATATGGGGAAAAGGTTACTGCTCAGGAGCAACCTCAGCCAAAGAAAGGAGTGAGAATGTGTGAGAAGAACAGCTCTGCAGTCACCAAGGTCAGTGCAGAAGGAAGCAAGGAGGTGTTCCAGGCACTGGAGCAAATTCCCCTGAAACTTGTGGTAGTACAGACCATGGTGCGTCACGGTGCCCCTGGAGCCCATTAATGTCCATGGTGGAGCAGAAATACACCTGCAGCCCATGGAGGACCCCATGCCAGAGCAGGGAGATGCCCAAAGGAGGCTGTGACCCCATGGGAATCCTGCATTGCAACATGCTCCTGGCAGGACCTGTGGCCCGGTACAGAGAGAAGCCCATGCTGGAGCAGGTTTGCTACAGGATTTGCGACCCTCCAAGGAACCCACACTGAAGCAGTCTGCTCCTGAAGGACTGCACCCCATGGAAGGGACTCGCACTGCAGAAGTTTGTGAAGAATGGCATCCTATAGGAAGGGTCCATGTTGGAGAAGTTCATGGAGGACTATCTGCCATGAGAGACATGCCTTCACCTGTTCCCAACACTGGAGCAGAAGAGTGTGAGAAGTCCTCCACCGAGGAGGAAGGAGCGCAAGAGAACTGACCATAACTACTGCTCTCCAGCAACGGGAAGAGGTTGAGAAAACTGGGTGCAAATTTAAGTCCAGGAAGAAGGGAAGGTGTTTTAAGATTTTTTTTTGTTTCTCATTACCCCACTCTGATTTGATTGGTAATAAATAAAACTAGTTTTCCCCAAGTCGAGTCTGTTTTGACTGTGACAGTAATTGCTGTCCTGATCTTGACCCACAAGCCTTTCATTATGATTTTCTCTCCTGTGTTTAGATGAGGAAGGGGAGTGATAGAGCAGATTCGGTGGGCACCAGGCATCCAGACAGATCAACTCACTACATTACTACAGACACAACTGGGAACATTACATGACTCAGATTAGGCAGTTCATGTGGTCAAAATATATTTAGAAGCAACACTGATTAGATTAACTTAGCAATAAGAAGGAACAGAGGAAGATCAAGTATTCAGCTTAGCCACGTTAGGTCTGCAATGGTGAATGGACATGCCTAAAAACAGGCAGGAGAGACTGTGATAACAGATAAGACTTGTCTTTTCCTGACAAACTCATCAGCTCAAATAAAACAATTAAAAACTGCACAGAATGGTGAGTAATTAGAAGGCATACTGCTGTATCTGATTTTCCAGGAGTCAATTTCAAACAACTGTGTACTAAACAAAGCTGACATACAGGTGTGTTTTAAAATGTTATTCACATAAACTTGTTACACAATTGAAGAGGAACCATGGTTTCCTTACACTTTTTTTAACTACTCACAGACAGCAGTGAAGTTTCAATATAAAAAGTACTTATTTACCTTTTACTTGGATTGGCTCTTTAAGGACAGACTGCTTTTGGCCTGCATTAGTCTTATCTTGTCCTGTAAAATAAAGATAAAGCTCACTGTAAGCATGGCAGTGCCTACTTTTCAGTAGAGTTTAGTTGACATAAAATAGAAATGTCTCTTAACATTGCTTTCCACCCTGACAACTAAAATACATTTAGATTTCCAACATTTAAAACTCTCAACATAAAAACACAGCAATAGTAAAAAGAAAAAAATAACAAAATAAGGCATTGATCAATAAACTCCCAGCAGCTTGCAGAAGAGCACCAAGTTGCAACAATACTTCAGAAAGTATCCTGAAATTCTGAAAAGCATTTTAACAGTCTATGGGACAAGTTTCATGCAGAGTTTTAGACCAGTAGATAAAATTAATCCGATAGTTTATGGCTGCTGATTACTGGAGTCTCACAAAGCTTCCAACCTGCAATTCAATTTTAAGTAACTGAAGCTTTTTCCCTTAAAAAAAGCTCGCTCCTTAAAATACACCATTTTTAAATTAAAACCCCCAACTCCTGGGTCACAAACTGGAGAAAGTATTCTGCTGGTTTTGAAATTTAAGGATATGACTCAATAAAAAGCCAGTGAAATATAATTTACAGTAAAGTGAAACTTAATATTTGGGAAATAATAAATTCCATTAATATCAGTGACATTTCTTCTTAGAAATCAGAAGTTCTACTTGACAATACAAATACTGCATCCTTGTCTGATGCATCCTGACATAACTTTCAGAACAAAAACCTTATGATTCTAACACGTCAAACTACTCTTTGGTGCCCTAACACTGCAGGTTTGCTACACATCCACAGTCATTAATGAAATTAAAACTTACATTATTTAAAGTGATACACACAAAAAAAAAGAAAGAATTCTCAAGCACGTTTGTATTTATTAATGAGATGATCCTAGCTTAACATGCTACACAAATTACTGAAAGATCAGATTTTGAAGTTTGGACTACATAACTGTCTTTCCATGAGGCAATTAGTTATCGCTCTAACAGCAACTGAGGACTAAGGCTAATGATAGTATACTTTCTTTGAAAAATAACATAAATTCATGAAACTGATTTTACTACACAACAAATAAGGCTGGACCATATATAGCTAGCATTCCTAACACAACCACCCCATCACTTATTGTTAAACTTGAAAAAAAAGCAAAATACCCTTTTCTGTTGCTTTCTTTTCTTACCTCATTTCAAACACCAGGCAGCTGATCTATCAGTATTCATGATAAAACACTCCAGATAAGATTGCTTAGCAAAAACTGAGTAGCAGCTTCTTTTCTAAAATTTCGTGCAACCATTTAAAAGCATTTCCCAAGTTTACTGATAAAGGAATGGAGGTGCAAAAGAGATCCATTATTTCCTAAACATTTAAATTACTGGAAAAGTATGGCAATCTTTACAAATAGTATATTACCTTTTCAGAATTTTATCAAAATATCATGCATTTTTAAAATAATCAGTACTAATATGGCTGTAATGCCATTAAAAAACGTTTAAATGTTCTATCCCCTAAATCCCAGAAAACACCCCTTATATGAAGCATGCAGATAGCAATATGCATTCCAGAATAAACTTCAGAGTGACTGTGCACAGTATCTCTAGGCTGCAGTTTCATATACACCTGCATACGTCAGTCCCCGGTCTCAACAAAAAGCAAGCCTCACGGTGCCCATGAGGCACAGTTATACTAGAGGTTTATACGGCTCAGGGCTGTGCTGCCACTAAAGGGCCTCACCTCCCCAGACGTTTTAGAGACAGTGAACATGATCAGGTTACAGATCCTACCTGTACCCTAGCTCTGCAAAACAAGAAAGCAATTTTTCACAGAACAGGCCTAAACGTCATTAATGCCAGCACAAAAGAGGGACTAATCAGACAGGGGTGGAAGATGGTAGAACATCCCTTCTGATGAAAGCCAGCAATATGAAAGCAACAGTGCTAGGCTATTTTCACGTCTGATTTTTAACACCGGTAACCCCACATTAGGAACCCAGAAAATACCAACAACTATAACTGGCTCTACAATCTTTCACTGTATTCAGACAGACATTCTTCTCCAAGAACCTCACCTTCTAGCAACCACCTTCAGCTCAAGCCTTTCTAAGAAACATAAATGGTCTTAAATATTATCCTCTTCTAAAATCCAATCACATACTTAAGAAATAGTACCAAATTGTTACACTTAGAACAATATATAAGAGCCACTTCCATTATCCAAACATCAGAAAATTAATACTTTCAGCTGGCTCAAATTACTAATTTTTTAAAGACTGCTGCAAGCCTCACGAATTTACAAGTTATTAAAGAAAGAATGAATACCTAGTAACCTGACTAAGGAAAGGAAATTTTCCTTAGTAGACCACCTAGTTTTATATAAAAGCACAAAAAGAGCTTTCTTTTTTAAAATCATTTGTATCTCTTTGGGAAACAGCAGTCTCCCAAACATGTGCAGTCCCCCACTTAACAAGAAGCAATAATAGAGGACGGAGCAAGGACAGGACAGATCTTAATTTCACAAGCACCTAACTATCACAAAATTGAGAATCAAACTGAACGGGAAGGAGGGTCAGGTTATGTTCATGGTATCACTTTAAACATGAATGCTGCAGTTCTGAAAACTATCAGATTAGAAAGCTGCAGCAGATGAAATAGCTCAACCTTCTTTACAAGTCATCTATAGCCTGATGTGGAGAAGTCATAGTGGCTGGTATTCTCATTCGTTCAATCTTTATCACTAGTAAATTTCACACAACAAACCTGAAATACTACAAAAAGAATTAAAGTAAGCAAGCAAAATCGTGAAAGGTAAGCAATACATCCCATTTCCTATCTCTTAGATTACCTAATCCCTTTTGACATCCACGCTTTATCATCACCACTTTTAAATCCGATTACTCTAAACTTAAATCCTTTAAATACCAGACTAAGACATAAATTTCAGCATTCCTCCCTGCTTATGCATTTGAAATTTATATACAGATGCCCATAAGCAAAAAATACTAAGAATTCTGCAACCCTAACATCACACAATTGGGAAAAAAAATCGATCGTTAAATACCTAAAGTTTTTTATATTTATAGAAATACTCTTTATTTTAGCTTAGTACTACCTGTTCCAGCTTTATGCAGGGTTTCTTCAGGGACTGACCCTTTTGTATCTTCTGATCCAAGATCTTTTTTTTGACCATTGGAGGTATAAACTCTCACTTGGCTCATCAACTGCACAGGCAGACGATGGCATGGTAGAAAACAAGACAGACTCCCACATTTCACTGGAGCTTGCCATCCTAACAGGAGGAGGAAAAAAACAAAGGTATTTCAGGCAACCGTTCTGTAAGGGAAAAGAAGGGAAGATGGTACAGCTATACCAGCCTAAGTTACAGGAATTTAGGATTTAAAATTTGCACTTCTTTTACCCATGGTTAGGAGTTATCAAACAGGAGCAGACAGCCTGCTTTCACTGCCTCCCTTCAAGCACCCACTTTTAAACTTCATTCTAGCATTGGAGGCTTTTTAAAAGATACAAAGCTATTTGGTAAGACTGGTTGATAAATTAAGCCTAGTTCTAGTCCTACTGCCTCAAGTTTTTTAAAAAACAAATATTGATGAAAAAGCAAATACAGAGCACTTCAGAACTCAGTGTTGCCATTTCATTTTACTCTGTGTACACTCTGTATAAACTACACCTTATCAATTAAGAAAAACTGAACTGTGTGCATTACACATTAAGAGCAACTTGGTACAGAAATTACGTAGAAAAGCACACAGCATTGTATAAAACATTTATGTAGAGGAATTTAAAGTATTCCAACAGTTGCAACAGACATATTACAAGATAAACATGCAAAATCCCTACTGAGAAATCACCCTGGGAAGGCATTTCAAAAGACTAGCCGGAAGGAGAATTGTATCTAGTACAGGCCAACCTGTATTAGCAATGAGTTCCTTTTAGGCAGCACAAATACTTCTACTGAGAGAGCAAATGACTTCTCCAACAAGAAATGCAACAGGCAAACTGGCTGTTCTGGATAGCACTCGTTAAAATAATAGTGGAAAAAAAAAAAAGAAGTAAGCAGTGCTAGTAACTCGAGTCATGCAAAGTATGACTACTCATATATGAACAATGAACCTCTCACAAAATGGCAATATTTTATAGATATTTTATAAAACTGTATTCCATCAAAAAGTCTCAACAGTTTTCATTTTAATCCTCTATGGTACTGAAGCATCTGCATGTGTGCATAGACTAATTTGAACCTTACTGAAAAACAATTTCAGTAAAAATAAAAAAAGGCAGATAAACTCTGATTATTAGATGCTGTTGATGTGACAAAAGCCCAGAAGAATCAATGCAGCTCAGTGAACTTACTGTCCCCTTTATACAACACTATAATAAATACATGGCATGAGATGAGCAGTGTTGTTTCCTAAGCTTTGGTATAATAGGCCAATTGAAAAAAGGGAAACTTAAATCGGCATGTTTAGAAGACGTTCTTCCTACTAACCTAACCCACAGACACACAAGGAATCATTAAAGAAAACAGGTATTGTTGCAATTTAACCATAGGTGATTACATGGAGAGGGCCCAAACAGGTCGGAATTTAAACTCCATGGGACCTGCGGCCTAAAGAAAAAGCCTGGGCTCCTTCCTGAGACCAACACAAACGCTGTAACACTGTGCTTTATTTTACACAATTACCGCAAACTTCAGCCCCAACTCGGACTTGACGTATCGGTTTTACTCCAGACGGGAGCCAATAGGGCAAGCGGCCTACAGCGGCCGTAAGAACACCCACGATAAGGTGTTACCCTCGTCAGGACACGCCTCGCGTACCGAGGCAGTTACGATCTGAACATCACCCTTTTAAACATCGATACCCACCACGCGGGCTGCGCTCCCGAACGGCTCCCGGTCCGGAGATGCCCGTAGGAATCGCCTGCGGCTCTGCCGGCACCCAAAGCCGGCTGCCACCAGCCGCCCATAAGCCCGGACACTCGCTGTTCCCCGCACAAGCACCCAGCTTGATTACAGCTTTTTACAAGACTTCACCGTGGAAAGCGGGGTTCCGCCGGCCCTGCTCGCCCCGGGGAGCGTCCCGACAGCCCGCCGGCGCAGAGCAGCGGGCCGGGCCCTGAGGGACTCACCGTGGCAGGCGCGGGGCAGCGGCGCCGTCCGGCAGCGCAAGTACAGGCGGTAGAGGCCGCGGCAACCCCGACGCTGAGCGGCCAGGACCGGCATCATGGCTGAGATCGCGCGCGGAGCCCGACCGCTCGCCGCCGCCGTATGCCAGCGGCCGGCGAGCGGGCGGCGATTCGCATCGGAGAAGCCCGGCGCGACTGCGGCGGAGGTCTAGGAGGCCCCGAGCGGCGACGGTAGCCAGGAGGCCGGCGGTGGGCGGTGCTAGGACACCCGGATGTGCGAAGGGACCTCGGGCCGCCGGGCTGGCATGACTGCTACTGGGCCGCCGCTGACTCACCCGCCCTTCGCGCTGCGCATGTGCGGAGCCGTCGCTTCGCTTCAGTTCGCCTTACCTCAGCGTCGTGCTCGCGGTGGTGCTGGACGATACTCGTCTGACCCCGTGTCCGGCGCCGGACTAGGCGGTAGCGGGCTGGCGGTTAAAATCGGCTCGGTCCCAAGCGCCCCGGCCTCGCCTTCAGCGAGTCTGCATCTGAAATGCGCATCGAGAGCGCCTCCTGGTCGGGAACTACTCAGTTGCTGCTCGTAAAGAGCAGATAATGTGTGTGTGTGCTAGATTCGTTAGCACGGGTAGTAATAACAATAAAACTCGTAGGCCAAATCTGTTTGCAAGATTTTTATGCGAAAATGCGCTCCCATACGCTAAAACGTGCTTACCGGGTCAGTGCTGATAAAACCGGATGTCTGGGTTTCTCTCCCCTTATTACTGGTGGTAGCAGTAGTGGTTTGTGTTACACCTTAGTTACTGGGCTGTTCTTACCTCAACCCGTGGGAGTGACGTTCTTTCGATTCTCCTTCCCAGCCCTCCGGGAGGCAGGCGGGGGGGTGGAAGGGGAAAGTGAGCGAGCGGTGGCGTGGTTCTGAGTTACCGGCTGGGCTTAAACCATGACAGAAGATAGAGCACAGCAGACGTTCTTTCTCCAGGGAGCGAGTACCCTGCACATGATCCTGCAGAGGATTGTGATCTCTTCTTGTATTCACTCTGGCCTTTCTCACCCACAGCCTGGCTCAGAACCATGCATGTGATTAGTCCTGCTGGGAGCAGATTACAGACCTTTGTTATAAAAAAGCTTTTCCAGGATAGCTTTGATACTAGTTTACATGACTGACAAAATGCCTCTGGCTTCCTTGTCTTCATCTGCATACTTCGAGGAACATGGGAGCTCACCAGAAATTAGCTTGGCAGGGAATGTGGATAATTAATGCACCTGATGACCCACAAAGCATTTGATCATCGAGGAGAATTATTACAGTAACTGTCTTTAATGTACCCAATTAGATTTTGAACAAGGCTTGCTGGCACATAACTTCTTTACCAGCCATCCAGTGATTAGCATTGACAATAGTTTTTCTAGAAGCCTGGTGGAGGCAGATTGAAGTAAAATACTTGCATAAAATAATCAACACACATCTTCCCAGTAGTGCAATTGCAGCCATATCAAGTGAATTGGAAGTATTGCAGCAGATGCTGTGTCATTAGCACCAGATGTACAGCAAGGGAGTTAAACACTAAATTCACTGCAAGTTGTACAGTGGCAAATGTAAGGTCAATTCACCAATTTTAGTTGGGGTCTAGCATGCAGCTGAGGCATGGTTTGCAGGCTGCTTGTTATTTTGGCAAGAGCCTAACAGTAAAAAGAAACGTGTTAGTTAGTGGAGTTTCCTTTCTTTTCCCTAAATAGAGAGGCTTGAAAGAATATATAAATTCTTGAACATTTGTAATTCCTGAAGAACCTCTGCTATATGCTAGAAGAGATGCTAACTGTTGCACTACTTCTAAAAATACTTAGGTTTATAATTTCTTACCCAAAACCAAATGGATTTACTAAACTATTTCATATTCTTTTATCTGAGTAACTGAATTTGCCTTGTCTGGTTTTGTTGCTGTAAATCTGAAACAGGAAGTAAAATTATAAAGCTGGAATAACGTAAACAAATTTAATAGATACTACCATTGTGGTGATCAACCAGGATCTACATGACCAAGGGCTCTGCATAAACCTTTTTATTGATAAACTCTGAAACTTGGGAAAGAAGACAAAGAAACAAGCAAAAGAGCATCGGTAACAACCTATTCAGTGTGGGAAAGTCGGGCATGTGAAGCAATTGATAGTGAATTACCACACCTCATGGCACGTAGCTACAGCATCTTAAGACAAAATTCTCAAAATCTTATTTATGAAGCATCACAACCATTAGTTATCAATCACTAGCAGTGAATGGAGAAATGCACTAAATGATAGGGACCTGTTTACGTATTTCCGCATATCCAAACTGTATTAAACAACTTTTTGCCTATGGCAAAGACTGCTGTATTATATAGCCATAGTGAGTAGGTGAGATTGTGGTGCTCCTTGAATGACATTTTCATTTAATATAGTTGGGAGTTGCACCCTAAGGTTTAATTGTGAATAATTGTTACTTAATAGCCATTTTAAGGCCATATTTCACAAAATCAAGCCAGTTTAAAGAAAAAAATGACAGTAAAATCTCATTCACAATCAAATTGCCAAGCTCTTAGCCAATTAAAAAAAGTATTTATATACACCATGCTTGTACAGTGACTTCTGTGCTATCTGTACCTCTGGCTGGGAGACAGAGGTTGCTGATATACCTATCATGTGAAAATCTGCATATATTGCTCACAAGAAGAGTGAGGCTGTCCTCATGACCACATCATGGTCATTTCCTCATGACCACATCATGGTAATTTCCTCAGGCCGCCTTTTGCAAAAACTCAAGAACCTTAAACCAAGACAAAAGCATATTACTTTGCCAGCAAAAACTTTAAGATTCAATTGCTTTACCAGATCTTCAGGAAAAACAGGGACTGTGTGGGTGCAGCCTTTTAAGATTTAGAACCTGCTTTACAGAGACACTTGGAAAGTTTGCTTAGAAGTACTTACAGATCAAGAAAGACAGGCAGCTGGATTGAAACATAGACCTTTGGAGACTTTATTCCTCATTCCTGTTTTTTTAAAAGAAGCAAGTGACTGACTGGATTACTTGAGCTACAACAGTACAACATGATGAAATTATTTAATGTTACTGCCTTGCAAGAAATCTGTGATACGTAAAGGCTAATATACAGTGAAGGATTTTAGTGTTCCTTGTACAAAAAAATTACGTGATGTAAAGCTAGTTTAAATATTTGATAATCTGAAATTCATTAAAGATTTCAAATTCATATAGCAGAGACTTGCAATGTCCCCAGATCAGCAGCAAGAGCTGAGGTAATGACTTTATAGAGTTTAAGTTACTCTGAGAATCCCATAATATCCAGCCTTATGTCTTTCATACAGTAGCAAGGTTTTTAAAAGGGAAAGACCGTTCTGATTTTGTACCTTTTATGATTCTACAGATATATTGTTGACAGCAAGAAAATTCATACTGATAGTTAAAAAAATAAAAGTATGAATACATATGAAGTATTCAGTGATCCCAAACAGCCTTTAAGCTTTTCAGGTAAAATATTTAAACAGAAAAAGTATTTTGTGGCAGGCAGGTACATGAGGGGAATGACACTTCCAAAACAAAATCTTCAGAAGTCCATGTAACACCACTGAGTCACATAGGTCTGTTAAGTTCTATCCTGGTCACTGGGTCAGAGACAAACAAACTAGAAGCAAATACCTTTCATTTCCAGCATGTGGATATGTGTTTTCAATTATTAACATGCAATTCATTCACCCTAACACCAGCAAAGTCATCTTCACTTTCTGGAGCTGTGTGCAGCAGTGCTTGGCCAGCCCTTTTGATCCCAGCAGCTAATGACCTGCTGCTGCAGCAGCTCACAGCCCTCTCGCGGCACAGACTGGCAACCACATCCTTTTCCCTGGGAACCTGGAGACTCACACCAGATCTTCTGGGAGGCAGAGCTGAGATCACTACTGCAGAATCAGTTGAAGTGGGAAGAGATAATTCCAGAAGAGAGAAAGGGTTTCACAAGAGCAGACAACAGAAGGAGATAGGACAGGTAAAGAAGGGAAAGGCTTTGAGGACAGAAGATGGGATAAAGCATCACAATAAAAATCAATGGGAGTTATACTGGGACATATGCAGCTACAGTCAAATTGGGGAAAAGAGAAAGATTTATACAACATATACCCAGAAATATGCACTTCATGGTTATGCAGGCAAAAGATGAAAATATTACTGTTCCTGGACCAATAATCCCACCCCCACCCATGTAAGAAAGACTACAGTTGTAAAGCAGCAACATCCTGAGCAAAAAGGAATCAGTATTCTGCTAATACAAGGATTTGACAATATATGTTTTAAGATCTTTATTACTGGGATGCTCCAGCAGATCATAGGAGTTTTTATCTTCCCAACAATCACAACAAACATTTGGGCTTGTGAGTAGTTACTTCTTTGAGAAAACCTTAACTATGAATCTGGTTTTCTTTTCTCTCCTTTCTAATGCATAAGGCAGATAGGTACTGGTGAAGCCAAAGTACAATAAACCATGGAACCACATTATTCTCCTGAAAAATAACTCTCCTGTAGCCAATGGACACAAGAGGAGCAGACTAAATTACTAAAATGTTTTGCTTCGTAGTTGCAAACCAGCCACTAGAGGTCAGTGGTTTGGAATAAAATTAGCACATGTAACAAAAATTCCATTTCAAATGACCAAATCATTTTGTCAAATATAATTTCTGGCCTTTGAGTAAGGGGAAAGAATTCTTAAGGTTAGCAGCAGTTTCCTTCCCCCTGAAGCAGAAATTTAGCTTAAAATTCTTAAAAACAATACTAGGTACATAATACATTGAAACTGTGCTTACTCTCATGAGAAATATGCAGGCATGCATCAGCACACAGGGCTGCAGGAAGCTTCCCGCATCATCCAGTCTCCAGCTACTCCACCTGTCCTACAGTCTTTTACACAAAGCAAGGACCAGTTTAAAAGCAGCTTGATTTTTAAGAATGTGAAATAAGCTTGCCTTGTACTTTGGAAGTGTATAAAGGTAGGATATTAGAAGTACCTCTGCAGTGCAAGAATTTTTTCAAAAACTATTTCCCTTTCAAATATGTAACACTCTGCAAAGAAAAAAGGCTGGCAGAGGGCAGGAAGAGGCTTTTTTAATCATAAAGTGTCTTAACATATCCAAATGGCAAAAACTCCTCAAAATATAATCTGTTTAGTCATTTATCTGCTGCTGTAAATATACATACACACCATTGATCCACAGCACATAGGCACTCATGCATATTTCTTGCTTACCAAATGTCTTGCTTACCTCTGCCCCAGAGTGATAAA